GACGCAGCTAATCTTTGCCTCACTAAAACGTCCAAGGTAATGAACTGGGCATTTTCTTTCTCTTTTCTTTTCTTCTCTTTGTTACTTTGCTTTTGTGACCATTTTTCTGCATCTTGTAGATATTGCTGTGGAGCAGGTGTTTGAGCAGGTGCAATGCCTCTGCCAAATCCGAGTAGTGACTTCACGGCAGGTGTTTTCCTCCGACCAGTCTTACCGACAGATAAAAAATGCTTCAGATGTTTACTTGAACATTCATTTAAAATCACGATCCTAATGTGCAAATCTAAAAGTTTATTTTCCTAGAATGTCTGGGATAATTTTGTTTTTCTCTTTATTGCCTTATTCCCAGTTATTCTGAATTATGATTTGTTAAAATATTCAAACGGGAATTACGTACGCGACAAATGCACGTGCGAAAAAAAACAAACATAAAAGTCTTAGAATTATAATCTGGAACACCTGTGAATATAACACATTTATTTGGCAACGTTAGCAACCCTCCCAGGATAAAATGCCTGGGAAAAATTATCGTGGCCTTTTTTTCAGTTTCGAAAATCAGAACTTACTAATAATAGGATATCATTATTATCATTATCATAATCATCAATCCTATTATTAGTAAGTTCTGAATCAATAAACATCAGAAGAAATGCGAGAGGCTTGAGGACCTTGTGAAATCAAATTTAAAAAAATGAATATTTTTATTCTAAAATGTGAGTCATTTCCATCTTTCTCATTTCTTTTTTTCATTTTTTTTCTTTCATTCCATGCTGTTCTTATTGTTGTTATTATTATCATTATTGTTCTTATTATTGCTCCTGTTGTTGTTTTTTATCCTTTTACTATTATTATCATCATTATTATTTTCACTATTATCATTATCACTAATATCATTATTATCATTATCCCCATTATTATTACTATTACTATTATGAGGATAATGAGGATGATGACAATGATAATGATAACGACAGTAATGATGATAATGGTAATGATGTGATGATAATGAAGACGATGATAAGGATGAAGATGGTCATGAAGACGATGTGATGATGATTATAATGCTGCTGCTGATGATGATGGTATACACAGTATATATATATATATATATATATATATATATATATTATACATATATATATATATATATATATATATACATATATATATATGTGTGTGTGTGTGTGTGTGTGTGTGTGTGTGTGTGTGTGTGTGTGTGTGTGTGTGTGTGTGTGTGCGCGCGCGCGTATGTGTGTACATCTACATATATATGTATATATATATATATATATATATATATATATATATATATATATATATACATATATATATTCATAACAATACATGCCTACATACACACACATACATATGTGTGTGTATATAAATATGAATATATATACTATCATTCATATATGCATATACATACACACACACACACACACACACACACACACACACACACACACACACACACATATATATATATATATATATTATATATATATTATATATATATATATATATATATATATATATATATATATATATATATATGTATATATATATATATATATATATATATATATATATATATATATGTATATATTTATGTTTATATCTATACTTATACTAAATTTATGCACACACACAAACACATGTACAGACACAGATACATGTATATCTATATCTATATCTGTCTATCTATACATAAGTATATATATGTACATATGTATGTATGTATATCTTTGTGTGTGTTTGAGTGTAGAGTAAAGAAAAGGCAGTTACAGGATATAAAGAAGAAAAATGTAGTCTCGAGCCAAAATACTACGAGCTGAAAAAAAACATCAACATAGACTCCACCAGGTGTTTCCACCAGAGGAATTATGTTTTTCTTGCACATTTTGGAGAAATGATGTGCACATCCCACTGATTTTGTGAATATGACCATTATTTACGTACATGTATATACACAAAGATAATTTCATATTTACATAGCTACAAGTGCTTATACATAGTCGGAAACTCATGCACATACTCGTATATGAGCATTGTGTGTGTGTGTGTGTGTGTGTGTGTGTGTGTGTGTGTGTGTGTGTGTGTGTGTGTGTGTGTGTGTATGCATGCACACGTATGACACGAGATCAGGACGCCAATCTAGTTGCATCGACAGAACCTACTCCCGCCATCGTCAATCATGCAATAATTACCTAATAAACCGACCGCAGCAACTTCACCTCCCAGCTGAGCGCGCTGTTTTTTTTTTCTTCCATCAGCAACAACTGAGGAAAAATAGAAAACTGAGAGCCAATAACATAAAATTCGAGGACACCCTCCATATAAGCATCGCGTAGGCTTAAAAGGGAGACAGAAATAACGCGAAGTCAAGAGGGAGACTGAAAAGGGGAGAACAGAAAAAGACCAGCCTTCGCTCACTCTAGAGCGGCGGTCGGCGCATTCACAGTCGTCTCACAACGAGGAACACAGAAGAAAAGAGTATAGATGAAACCAAAAGATTCCCACATAGAAAGAGAGCCACATAACAAACGTAATTGCAAAGAATTGCGAGCCGCCGGCGCATGCGCACTCGGGCCGCAGCCAGCCGCCCGAGGACTGCGGCCGAGTGCGCGAGAGGAAGCCTATTGCGGGATTCTCTCGTGTGGGCGCCCTGCACAGGATCCCGAGCCGCCCCCGGAGTGGAGACGAGGTATGTGGGTGGGGGAGTGTGCTCAGGGCTGGAGAAGCCCTTGTCGAGGGAAGCGAAGGGAGGAAAGTCGTCTTGGAGGCATTGCTCCCTCGGGATCTCGCTGGGAGGACACCCTGTGCCCAGCGCCCGAGGAAGGCGCAGTGGAGGGCTCCTGTTGGGGGCTGCCATGCACGCATGCCACAAGACACGCCTCCCAGGGCACCCGAGGACCAGAGGACGATCTGAAATGACTCGAAGGCCTGTGGAGTATCCCCGAAGGGCCCGAGGGAGCGGCCGAGGGCGCTCCTTGTCCTGGTCGCCTCCGTGGGCGCCCAGGGACACCAAACCCGTTCTCGCTTTTTTATCGCCGTCTGTCTGCCGTCCCTGCCGCCTTCAGCTCGTCCTGTGGCAACAAAGGGGGACGGGCTGTGCATGCTGTCAGTCCGATACTGTTTAGTCTTTGTGATTCATTTCTGTTTTTAGCAGTTGGTGCTTGCATTTTGTGTTTATTCGTTTTTTTTTTTCTTTTTTTTTTTTGTGATGGGGGAGGGGGGGGGGGGGTTGGAGTGAATTTTTAGTTTTTGCATAAAAGGACATATTTGCACAGAAGGACGTTGAGGAAGATCTGGCCTTAATATTTTCTGTTATTCGTTGTTGGATTTTTCTCAACAATTTACTTGGTAATTGTATTTATTTTAGATACTTATTTCAATAACCTTTTAATTTTTATACAGTATAATTAAAGTCTTATATATGATCAAATATAAACTGAATCACTAGAAAGATAATGAAAATAGTAATGTCAAGTCCAGTAAAGTGGTTTTATGATGAGTGTATCTGAAGGTCAAATTCATTTGTAGATATAAAGAGATGAAAACATGATGTTGCTATTTAAAAACTGGACTTGTACATTGAACTTGGGTGTTAGATTGAAAGGAGAGGTTTCTGGTGAATGTTTTTAAGGTTTACCTTCATGTGAAATGTAAAGACCAGAAAAGGTGCTTGTAAATGATGAGTTCTAATGGTTAATGAGGTGTAAACAGAAACTAAGATAAATTATACTTAATAATATTTTATATGGCATCTTTAGGAAGAGGTGAAGTTGAAATTACAAGGAACCATGTAGTTACTATGACTGTATGTATTTAACATGCATAAAATTTACAAACTTCAGCTTAGACATCTTAATATATAATCATTTGCAGTTTATTGATGGTCATTATTCTTGGTGACTTGGTAACAGGGTGAAGCTGTGTGATATTGACCTTCAGTATTTATTGGTTTTATTTCTCAAATCCTTCAGAAAGAGACAGCAATAATACCAGATAATAGTATATATAGTATATTTGTTTTATATGACTGTTGTTTGTGTGTGTGAACTAAAGTCAGCTGGAGTATTTTTGGAGAAATACAAGTGTCATATTCATTTATTTGAATTTGATGAACACTGTTTTCAGAATTTATGTAAATTTTTATGTGACCCAATAAGTGACATACAACATTTATCATAGTCTTGGGTTATATACACAGCAACATACAGTATAAGCTAGTAGGGGGCAGAGTGTGTTTTTAGGCATTTTACCCCAGTGTGATTCCCAGATTTCTAAGTTGTGTAATTTTGGCATCAGATCATCAGTGAATTCATCATTGTTTCTGAATTGAGTGGCATTGTAAAAAAGTTCAAGCAGATATATAACACCATATCCATGTTATTTTAGTCTAGCTTAAATTAGTTGAAAACTCTTGGCTCCTTTCCTGGTGTTTTACGTAAAGATAAAAGAATTTCCTGTTTCCAGATGAATTACAAAGCTCAGCCTGTTGTATTGGCAACCTGCGGGAGAGCAAGATATAAATAGATACGTAAACAAATGCTCACATACATACAAGAGAGTGAGAGTGCATGTGAGTGACATGAATTGATTAGTGTGGATGAGACGATAATTGGTCCAGAATATTGAGGTGCCATGTCTTTGTTTGTCTTGCGGATATAAATGCGAAGGCAGTAACATGGGATAATAGTCAAGACCCAGTTAAGTAGGATCTGAATGTGGTTATCTGATGTTGATTATACCTTAATATTAAGGTATTGTCTAGGGATGAAGACAGTATTTGTACTTCTACATTCTAATTCCAGTCAAGTTTTCATACCCTAAAACAAAAGATAATGTGCACCTCAATGCAGTATTAAAAAGAAAAAGAAGAAGAAAAAGGAAAAGAAGAAGAAGAAGAAAAAAAATATATATATATAGATATAGATATATACACACCATTGTCATTGAGAGCGTGTGAGGTGATGAGCATTACTATATGAGAATATGTGGGGATCATGTGCAAGGAAGCTCTTTAGTTGTTTGTAGTTACAGCCTTCAGTCTTTTCAAGTGTATTGTTGTTTTTGTTATTATTATTGTTGTTGTTGTTGTTGTTGTTGTTTATTGTTATTGTTGTTATTGTTTATTATTGTTATTGTTGTTATTATTATTGTTGTTATTGTTATTTTTATTATTGATATTATTATTATTATTATTATTATTATTATTATTATTATTATTATTATTGTTATTACTATTATTACCATTATTATTATTATTATTATTATTATTATTATTATTATTATTATTATTATTATTATTATTATTATTACTACCACCATTATTATTATTATTGTTATCATCATCATCATCATCATCATCATTATTATTTTCATCAATATCATCGTCATCTTAGTCTTTATTGTCATTGTTATAGTTATTATTGTTGTTGTGTTATTATCATCATCACCATCATCATTATTATCTTTATCATTATTATTTTATGTTTATGATTATTATTATGATTATGATTGTTATGAATATTATTGTTGTTATTATTATTATTATTATTATTATTATTATTATTATTATTATTATTATTATTGTTATTATTGTCCTCATCATCATCATTGTTATCATTATTATTATTATCATTCCTGTTATTACTGTTATTATTATTATTATTTTTGTTTTTATTATTGTTGTTATTGTTATTATTATTCCCATTATTATTATTGTTATTATTGTTGTTGTTATTATTGTTATTATTATCATTATTGTTATAATTGTTATGGTTATGATAATTATTATTATTGTTATTATTATCATTATTATTATTATTATTATTATTGTTATTATTATTATTATTATTTTTATGATTATTATTATTTTTATGATTATTATTATTATTATTAATAATAATAATAATAATAATAATATTATTATTATTATTGTTGTTATTATTATTATTATTATTATTATTATTATTATTATTATTATTATTATTATTATTATTATTATTATTATTATTATTATTTTTACCATTATTATTATTACCATCATCATTATTATTGTTATTATTATTAATGTTATCATTATTATCATTATCATTATCACTATTGTCATTATTATTATTGTTGTTGTTATTATATTATTTTCATTTTTGTTATTAGTATTGTTATTATTGTTGTTGATATCATTATTGTTAATCACATGCTGCTGGGGAAAGTGAATAAAAAATGGGGAAAATGCTGTGCTCATTTTTTATATTTTTGTGAAATGTCTCTTCACACAAGTGGCTCTGCTAGCGCTTACCCACAAAGGAGTAAATGGGAGACCTTATGGCCTTAATTTCACCTTTCCTTGAATTTGTGGGAAATTTTATTTTTTCTAGTGCTATGAAAATCAAGTGTTATTTTTATTATTGAGATTATAATTACTTTAATGTTACAAATATTAGTAACAGAAAATAAGATAATGTAAAATATTTTTGTAAATCAAGGAAAAGGGTAAATGGGCGAGACAAGCAGTGCTTGTAATTGGCTAATTGGTGACATAATACAAGTGTAGTCATCTATGTCTAAAAACAATCAAACAAATAACTTGCTGTGTTATTGTTGTGGTTGTTATTATTATTATTGTTTTTATTGTTATTATTATTATTATTATTATTATTATTATTATTATTATAATTATGATTATTATTATTATTATCATTATCATTATCATTGTTATTATTATTGTTGTTGGTGTTGTCATTGTTATCATTGTTGTTTTAGGTATTCCTGTTCTTGTTCTTATTTTTGTTTTTGCTGATATCATCATCATTCTTGAAAATGCTTTTGCAATTTTGATGTTCCTGCAGGAGCAACATTCAGTTCAGATCTAGTTTCCCGAGTGTCGGTGCTTGTGAAGGGGAGGTCTTACCTTGTATGCTCATCAGTATTGAGGGATTGATGAGTATTGATTCAATTTTTCATTATATCTTGCATTTCAAGTATCAGGATCACCAGCAGTGTGAAACTTCTTTATTTATAGATATTCCTCGTCTGTTAAGAACTGCCATTGACTTTTTTTATGAATAGTGTTCATTGTGGCTAAGGGAGGAAAATATTTAAATGAAATTGATCATCTTAATAGTTAAGAGATATATTTGTCCAGTTTTGACTGTATCTTGTTTGGAATACATGCATGTATGTATTTCTGATACCCATATAGTCAAAACCTGTCAGACATATATCTTAAACTGAGAAGACAATCATTCTTCTTCATACTTTTTTTTATACAGATTTTTTTTTAGGAATTAGTAGTCTACACCCTTTATATATATATATATATATATATATATATATATATATATATATATATATATATATATATATACATATATATATAAATATATATATATATTTTTTTCTTTTTTTCTTTTTTTTTGTATGTATTATTTTTGTATCTTGTTTTGTTTCATATGACTAAATCCCATTTCAGATCCAGCAGAATGAGTCAGTCTCCGCGGCGCAGTGTGAACAATGGGGGATCCCCAGTTCACGAGAGGTCCAGAGACCCTTCTTTTTCCCGCTCAAGGTAACGGGAAGTTTACCTTTCATTTAAACAATAAATGGTAAAGTAGGTGTTTATGATTGAGAATTTATGGGATTATGTAGTTAAGATGGATAGTTAAAATTCATTAAATATAAGTGAGATAACATGAAACCTGATTGTTTCACAACATCAGGCAGGAAAGAAATGGGTTTCTAGAGCATCAATGAAAACCTTAAAATTATCATCAGATTATAAAGGATATTATATATGTTAAAGTAATACTGTTTAAAGGAAAAATAGGATAGAGAAAGCACGAGGTTTAGGGGAAGCTGGGTCATGCCGGACGTTAATACCAAATGAATTATCCAAAATAATATTCTTCAAAGTTTCCTATTAGGTATTCATTTCTTTATAAGCTCATCAAATATTTCTAGCTTAATTAGATATAGTAGAAATAAAGTGAAAGGACTGAAATACAAACAAAATGCCATACCTAGTTGTATCAAGGCAACGTTCTCCATAACGCTGGATGGCAGGTGACGACTTGAGGTTGTCTCATGCGGACGGTCTCTTAACTCATCCTCCGGTTCAGACAATGCAAATAATCCTGATGATATTTATAGGCTTGTCATCAGGTCTACCTATTGCATATGTAGTATTCTAGAAAAGCGTTTGGTTATTGTCAGCTTTCCATATTGCAGTTTTTGTTCACATGGCCGAAAGTACAAAAATAATGTTCTTGTTATCATTAGTATTATTGCCACTATTTATTTATAATGTTATGTGTTATCCTCATCATAAGCACTGATTATATCATAAATATTTTTAGCATTGTTTATACTGCTATTGCTGTTGAGATTTGTCAAAAATGGCCTGCCTCGTTTCATGGAATTGGACATAGAATTCAAGAAGTTGTCTGCCCTTAAGTGGACTGTAAATAGTTTTTACATTCTCACTGGCTATATATTTACTCCTCTGTTAGAGTTGTACAATTTGGTAATAACACTTAATGTATAGACTACAGTCTGTCTGTATGTATACCCACTTTCTTGTCAAAGAAGAAAGATAAAAAGACAGTAGTACACACTTATCAGTGCCATGAAACTTTTTTTTTTTCTAATATGAGTTATCACCTTTCTTGTTTTTATTCTGTTCATTTTTTTCTCTCTCCATACATGTAGCTCACAATTTCATATATTTGGCTTGTTGAAAATGTTCAGATTTTGTCCTTTGTATGCATTAGTTCAGTGCAGCCCCTCATTTTCATAATTATGAAATAAGGGTTAGGTTCCATGATTAGTTATTTGATACCAAAGACTGAAGAACTGTATTAACAGCAGAAGAAAATATGTGCAGATTCATTTTTTTTTTTTTTTTCCACTTTCTAAATTAACCAAAGTTTTCTTAGGTAACTGTTTAATATTCATTGCTTCATATAGAATTGATGTTTTATTCTGTTTGTCCAACAGATCACGATCTGGAGATCGTCGAGACAATTACAAACATTCATCGAGGTGTTCTGGCTCCCCGCGCTACCGTGAGGACCGCTATCGTGATGAAAAATACTCATCATCGCGTCGTAGATATTCACGTTCTCCATCTTACTCTAGAAACAGAAGGAGCAACAGGTGTGCGATCTGAGTCAGGTGGTATAGATAAGTTGGTGTACTCTGCAGGTATTGCTGGTACCCTTCTTATGTTTGCATTATTATTTTTAAGTTAGTTTAATAACTGTGCTGTTTAACTTTTAGTTAGTGGATCAAGCTTTAGCTGTTGGAAAGGAGAGATTCCAGACACACTGCAGCACTTCTGGATTTGTTCTGAGCCTCAGTCAACTCGCAACACCAAAGTTCCCTCTCCTTGGCTTTCACTTAGGTGATTAGGGTCAACGCAAGATTTTTGATTTGTCTAAATCTTAGGTCCCGATCAAGGTCTCCGATGTCTAATCGCCGCCGCCACCATGGGAGCAGAGAGGACCCTCCCCCAAGTAGCTGCCTTGGGATCTTCGGGCTTAGTCTCTACACAACAGAGCGGAAGGTAAGGACTTTGACTTAACCCATTCATGCTGGCTGATGCTATATCATGGCATAGCAAAAAATTCCCTCAACAGGAGCTGATCTCCTTGTGGCCAAGATAATGGGTCTTGAATCTTGCTATAAGCCAGACAATATCCTAGATATGGAACATGTATGCTAATGAATCTACTCTGAACTTTACCTACTAAAGTTTTTCTCATTGTGAATGGGTTGTAGGTGTTTTCTATGTAATGGATGTAGGTGTAAATTCCTTCCATATTTATGAATATGAATACTAGATTTGCATTTAGTAATAAACCACTTTGATCCTGTTTTCATTATTTCTTTAGGAAATACAGATTACTTTCTGTTGAGGTTTTCTTAATTATTCCATTGCAGCTCCATCACCTCTTCAGCAAATATGGTCCTATCAACAAAGTTCAAGTTGTGC